TTCGTTAGGTTCATAATGATTTTGGCGAAATTATTGCATATACAAATTTTCACTTGTCCTATATGGCAAGATGAGCGTTGCTATTAAGCCAAGATCGCAAGTTCTGCCTATTCAGCACGACTTTATATATATATATATATATATATATATATATATATATATTATATATATTTATATATTATATATATATATATTATATATATATATAATATATATATATATATATATATATAACTTTTTTGCTTACGCCCAGACTGTATTTGGTTTACAAGATTCTGTTAACAGGTTCGGTGGGAACATAACTCCATCTCGGTCATTGTAACAGAGTTATTCGTCAGTGTGATAATTTCTTGAGTGTTCTTTTTAATCCCTCTCCAATTATTATGTAGCAGTATTGCTGGGGTGTAGGTCCCAATAAAGTTCTTTCGAGTATTTATGTTGCTAGTTTAGGTCATCTTGTAACTGACAATCCCAGTTAGTTTGAATTCTCCTGTTAGCCATACATCGTCTGCGAACATTAAAATACAAGTTTCTTGGCGAGATTATTTGTGCTGATGAAAAGCAATATGATTACCAGAAATGAACCTTGTTAGACACTAATAATATGTTCACCAAGTCAGCGTCTTTTATGGTTCATCTTGAGTTATTTTCTGTTTACATTTTCTCTTATTGAAGATTAAGACATGTGTAACAGTTTGTTATCTTTATCGTTGAAACGTTTCTCCTACACAGTAGGCTTCTTCAGTCAAATACAGAGGGTCAGGTGTAGTAGTGAAATAAAGATGTAATCAGTCCATCAACCTTGGAGAAAAAGTATTTGAGGTGGTCAGTCCCTCAGCCTGGAGAAGAGTTCAGCTCCATGGTATGGAACGATATGAAGCTGAAGCATGAGAATAGAGTCCACACCATGGAGCTGAACTCTTCTCCAGGCTGAGGGACTGACCATCTCAAATACTTTTTCACCAAGGTTGATGGACTGCCTACATCTTTATTTCACTACTACACGTGTTCCCTCTGTATTTGACTCAAGAAGCCTACTGTGTACAAGAAACATTTCAACAACATAGATGCCCAACTGTTGCACGTGTCTCTTAATCCTCTTCTTTATGTTAACGTTGGTGCACCTTGCACGTCAACTCTTGTACAGTTTAGACTATGCAAAACATATAGTTCAGCTTTTGTTTTCCCACAGAAACACTACTATTCAGTGTGAACAGAGGCAGCACGCCAGAGAGCCACTGTAATACAGAGGGTCCATGTACCGAGACATGTGGCTATTGCAAAAATAGGCACTATTAAGAGGAAGTCTTAAGAGTGATACATACACACACAGCCGGGAAACGAACAATCTCCATGGTGGACGTGGATTTTGCATGTCCTTATAAAACTTTTCTGCAATTAGGCTGTCCAAATTGCTGAATTACTTTTAAGCCAACATTGCAGCAGGTTTTGGTGATGAAACCAGATTTCATCACCAATCACTAATGACTCTCCTGAAGCTGGAGTCGTGCACTCCTGCTAAATCACCCAGCGGCTCTAATATAATTTGCTTCACTAGATTGTACCGTATTTCATTCTTTTCCCATAAAAACCCTACCTCTGTTTTAGTGTAAAACCCTAACAGCTCTGTTCACCAGTCCAGCTCTAAATAAATGAACCCCATCCTTGACATATACGTCAATTCTGTCATCTGATAAAGTGATGGAGAAGGCTGGCAAGACAATTTGGAAGGCTGTACATGTTCTTAATTCACCTAGTTTGAGAGTGAGGCTTTCGTTCGGTGTTAGTCATTAAGGCAAACAGAATATTTTCTAACATGGATTTTAGAAGGGCGTCATATTCCATCAGTTTAGAACTGTAGACATCTGGGAAAACATCGCAAAATAGTCGCTGTTGGTATATAATAGAGTGTGAGAGATTCCCAAGTGAAAGTACATACGTTGATGGGAGCATTGAAAGTTTAGTGAATGCAATAATTAGCAAACTGTTGAGAATAAGTAGATTTAACGGTAAAATAAAATGAAAGTCAGATTGGTAGGAAGGAATCTAGAGTTAGTAAATATCAGATTATGAGGAATTACCGAGGAAACAGAAGGGTAGTAGCACTACTAATCAGAAACCAGTAGGGTTTGGAGATGAAAGGAATATAGTGAAGGCAAATGGCTAAATAGTAGGCATACTGAAGACTGGGAACCCAAGGTGATGAGAGCAGTGTTGTACAACCACCACTGAACAGACGGGGACCAAACAAAAGTACAATGACAGCAGAGCAATAATGAATGCAATAGCAGAGGTAGTCAGAATAGCCTACACGAGCCATGCAAAGCTGCTCATCATGGAAGACTTCAACAACGAGGAAACAGACTGGAGAATCCAATGATCCAGGATCGTTTTGAGCTAAGATGATGGTGATGGTGATGGAGAACTTCATGCGCTAACATGTCAAGGGACACAGCAGAGGGGGAGACTAATAATAATAATAATATATTTATTTACTACAAGTACATGTACAAGGAATACAGGCCTAGCTGACATCAATGACATATGTACTACTGTAAAGAAAGCCCCTTGTTATGCAGAGCATTTCGGGAAAATTAAGTCAATTTTGTCCCAGGATGCAACTCACACCAGCCGACTAATACCCAGATACCCATTTTACTGATGGGTGAACATGGATAACATTGGACGTGTTGGAAAGCACGTCCAATGTTTCTTCCCATCCCGGGAATCGAACCCAAACTCTCAGCGTATGAAGCGAGAGCTTTGCCTACCAGGCTACGATCCACCTGGGAATGAACCAGCAAGGCCGAAGCTAATATTCACCCCGAGTGATTCTGAAATAGAGGACATTGAATACGATTCTAGTGATCACCTTATCCTGACTTTCAGATACTTTGCAGTAGTAAATTTGAAGAGTGATGTTGCATTGGAAGAAGAACCTTCAGAAGAGGGAGCTACACGATCGTCAGGCAATTCCTGGTGGAAGTGCAGTGGGAAAGGGAACTAGAAGGGAAGACAGCATATGAAACGGAGTAAATAGCTAGAAATTTCTGGAAGGAAGAGGAGACAATTCATATGGAGGAGCAGAGGGAATCGCAAGAATATTATAAACCCATGGTTCACCAGAGGTGCACAAAAGCAAAAGTTAAAATTGACACAGTATTGAAAAAAATACAGAAAGTAAAAAATACGGAAATCTGCAAAATATCAGAACTGAATATGCATGGGTAAGAATAAAAGTTCAAAAGACAATATAAATCTAACGTAGCATCAACAGTCAAATCTAATCCAAATCCGACAGTAAAGGATCAAGTAATATGGCTGACGAAGGAAGAAGAGCTCACATGAAATGACCTGGAAGTCTGAGTAGTCGATCTAAAATATTTTGGGAGGTATTCTCAAAAGAAACAGGGATGTTACCAGAGAACCAATAAGGAAGAATGCACCAGCGGGTGCTGGATAACATACGACAGGAGAAAAGGTTTGAAAATTAGCGTGCGAGCTAGATATCTTGATAGATCCTGAGAGAGGATGAAGAAGCAATGAATGAGCCACTAACCACAATCAAGTCAATGGACACAGAACAATTACCAGAGGCGTGGCAGACACGGGTAGTCCCAGTATTTAATAAAGTTGACAGCGAGGTAGTATTAAACTACAGACCAGTATTACTGACATGCATAATAAGGTAATGGAGATTATCAGAAGAGCGATGGAGCAGCATCTGGAAGGTGTGTGTTCATAAACCACCACTACTATTTCTTGTGATAGTAAATAACATGACTGAGAGTCAGTGGTATCTCTGTTCACAGGGGTGAAACTGGCAATGATAACAGATGAGGACGAGGACTCAAATGGACTTGTACAAGCTGCAGGTTTGACTTGAAAAGTAACCCAAGTCAATGCAGAATTAGGAAGATTAGGGTGGGGAAAGAAAACCGAAAAAGGAGTACGTATTTAGTAGGCAATGGCTAGAAACCTCAGTCAGAGAGGACCTCGGGGTGAGCACTGTACCGAGCATTTCGCCTGAGGCGTACATCAACCAAATTTCTACTGCAGCAAACGTGCGTCTGGTAAATTTAAGATCAGCTTTCAGCAAGCCCATATTTGCGTATTTATCACATTTTGCGGCTTATTAGACGCATTTTTTCCATAAAATGTCTCCAAAAACCAACCTGCGTCCTATAAACTGAAGGTCAGTGACGGGAGCTATAAGTTTGGGGTGTGGGGTGGGCTGTAGCTCTCCCAGTTACGTCCGATGCCGAGACATTGAAACTAAAACAAGTCTTATAAGTTTCGAAATACGGTAGCTCACATCTGACCCAGCATGTCGAGAAACTGAAGGAAGTGAAAAGGTTTACAAACCTAGTGTCAGAAGTGATGGGAATTATCCATGATGACAGGCTGAAGACGGAACCAAAGACGTGGAAAATTATGAAAGTCAAACGATGAATCGGGTTAGACTCTTCTAGGGAAGGGAAACAGGAACACACAGAAGTTGAAAAGACAGATGAGGTCATATAGATGTTAGGAAGTATTTCTTCACCCTCAGAGTGCAACGATCTAGACAGCGAAGTGGTGTAGACAAAATTCATACACAACTTTAAGAAGAGATATGATAAAGTATGACAGGAGAGAGCCAAGTAGCGGCCAGCGAAGAGGCAGTGCCAGGAGCTGAAACTCACCCCCCCCCTCACCATAACCAGATTTATGCGAGTAACACACACGCACAAACACTTCTCTAACCTATCTAGATAGTGGAAAATGCGAATGCAGAGGTCAGGACGATTAATCTCAGACTATCTGCTAACCTGGAGAATGTTATGAGTATTGAGGTGATGACCTTAATATACTGAGAGATGTGATCATGTTACGACACTGAGAATGCCTACCTGACAACCTCACGGTCAACGCTGAAGAGGTTAAGAACTAGATTATGAAGGGAGAGAAGGGGTGGAACCAGCGGGTATATAATGTGTGCAGCTGGAGCATCACCACAGTCCATCCCAGACATCACAAGCAACATGTTCTCGGTAAGACCTGGGCTGTACACACTGACGTGCATACAAGGGGCTTTGGCATGCTGCACTTTAAAAATTGTATTCCTTGTACTTCTCTGTATCATGTTCAAATAAATAAATAAAGATAACGTCTAGAACAAATACTATCTTGCTTTACGTACTCTAATATTTGTTTTGATTCTTTTCTTTACATATTCACTCTTTAAATAACTGTAGGTGCTTATGTAGCAGATATTATCACTAGTAGACCTTCCCTACTATTGCGAGTGATCTTGCAGCATCATTAATAGTGATTTAGGCGAAAAGTATTATACAACTTTTAACCATACCCCGGCCGGGATTGAACCCGCGGTCATAGGTCTCAAAACTCCAGCCCGTCGCGTTAGCCACTAGACCAGCTAGCCACAATAAGATTCATCCAACTAGGTATATTTCTACACCATAGGAAGGTTAGCACAGGCACCTCTGTGACCACAAATGCAAGTTTTTACAGACGAATCTCCAGCTAGCGTGGCCGTGACGAACTCTAGCTCAAGTCCCTTCACTGCCGTCAACATGACTTAAGAAATCGTAATGACACGATTGCAAATAAACCATACCCCCTGCCGGGATTGAACCCGCGGTCATCGAGTCTCAAAACTCCAGCCCGTCGCGTTAGCCACTAGACCAGTCATGTTGACGGCAGTGAAGGGACTTGAGCTAGAGTTCGTCACGGCCACGCTAGCTGGAGATTCGTCTGTAAAAACTTGCATTTGTGGTCACAGAGGTGCCTGTGCTAACCTTCCTATGGTGTAGAAATATACCTAGTTGGATGAATCTTATTGTGGCTAGCTGGTCTAGTGGCTAACGCGACGGGCTGGAGTTTTGAGACTCTATGACCGCGGGTTCAATCCCGGCGCCGGGGGTATGGTTTATTTGCAATCGTGTCATTACGATTTCTTAAGTCAACTTTTAACAAATGTTTCAATATAACAAATGCTTCAGTAATAATTCAAGAATAATGCTTTGTATATAACTTTTAGATGCTATTTTTTTTATCATACTTCATTAATGTTTATAAACAGTCAGAATTTATATTTTACACAAACAATGCACTACAAGAAAAATAACACTAAAGGATAAAAGTAATGAATATCGCGCATGAGCTGAGTGGCCTTGACGAGGTCAAGTACGACAGTGTCTCGCATTATCTCAACATTCACATTCTTTCTTATTCTCGAGACCAACTGGATCAGTTATAATAATCACATACACTTTCAGAAATTCGTCCTGTGTGTCATGGTGGCAGTAGTGGCCGCGGCGCCACAGGGATACGGTCCACCTCCACGTCCCTCCTACAGCGCCCCCTCAGGTGCTGTAGTTCCCATCCTGAAGGATGATCGTCAGGGACCTGACCAGGCCGGCAACTATAACTTCAACTTCGAGACTGGTGATGGCATCAGTCGTCAGGAACAGGGCGCCCCCCAGGGCCCAGCTGGTGCCGTGGCCGCCCAGGGAGGATGGTCGTGAGTATCTGGCTAAAATTAATCGTAGATAATCTTCTGAGCCTGCGGGAAAGTTCCAGGTAGTAACCCTCTGTAAAATATAGAACACCGATATATATATAGTCCACTAATTCATCTTTTTAAAATAGACTCAAATATAATTTTTCTTGTAGGTTCACCTTCCCCGACGGCAGTCAAGGAGTCTTCAAGTTCGTGGCTGACGGTGAAGGTTACCGCGCTGAGTCTCCACTGATCCATCCTCTCCCTCCCCACGCCATTGCTCAGATTGAGAAGGCTCGTCTGGAGGACGCTGCAGGTCCCAAACCCACCTACGGCGCTCCTTCCAGACCAGGATACAACTAATCTACAACAGATATCTTCCACATTCTTCTTCCACACCCACTGACTGGTGAACACAGTGACAAGGAAAAAATATTACTGTATCTGTTGTCTAAACCTGCTGCCGATGGTTTGAGTAAAAGTCGCAACATTCGTTGGTGGTGCTTCTATGGTATTAGTCAAGAAACAATTGTTTCCTTATACGGGTCTCAGTCAAATGATGACCAACCAACTGGACATTTTGGTCAAGTGACCAAGGCCGTCTGCTAGCTTACCGGTCCATCCCATAAGAAATTAAAGATCCCATCATCTTATGTGGATGTTATCCAGTAGTAACCAACAGTTTTATGTTGGAAACAGCAACATGTATATAGCTTTATAAGCCGCTTACAATGCAGCCTAACAGTTATCAATTCTATTTTGGTTCAGTTTTAGTTGCAGCCACGCTCCTTTACAGTTCCTGCTTGCCCTTGCTACACAAGAGAGGAGTTAAGTATCAAACTACACTGTATATGCCTAATTATTGCCATCTATTAATATTATAGAATGTTCTCAATAAATAATGAACATATTTGCTGTTTATCTAGACACTGCCCTACTGGTGAAGATTTGCTCTGGCAATCATAGATACTGATTTCAGGTTCAAGTATGTCTCCTCCTGCAGTTATTTACTGTTGAGAGCCAAATTTGAATGACTATTTCAATGAAGAGAACTGTTTAGCTTTTCTGTGGAAAATGATAATGAAAAATAAACCAACCGAAAATATATAGAGAGAAAAAGGTCGAAATATTCAAGAACACGTTAGTGGAGATGTAATGGGGACACAAGTCAGTGATGTTCTGGAGACGCAAGTCAGTGATGTTCTGGAGACGCAAGTCAGTGATGTTCTGGAGACACAAGTCAGAGAATTGTTAAAGCACTCCACAAGGTGATGAAACTGTACTATAAAATTATCTCGGGAGCCAAGAGTGCCACGATGCCACAGTCATACCACTGATGAGTTAAATGAAGGTATACCAGATGAATACAAAGAACGATTGTTTAGATGTCTCTAAGATAGAGTTCAGTAGAGATATGACCGGATCACGCTCAGCTGTGAAGGCAATCTGTTCAAAAATCGTCAAAAATCAATCATGTCTCTCGTTGATCAGTGATAAAAATTTTCCCATCCATCTCTCTCTCTCTCTCTCTCTCTCTCTCCACGGGTAAATAAGTCAGAACTGCAGACTGGGAGAAAAAAAAATGGTTAAAAATACATAAAATTAAAGGCCTAGACAAAAGACAACTAACACAGTAAACAAGACTTCCTGGAGCCTTCTAAAACATAAATTAGTATAGCCCAACATCAAAGAACACATGTTTACGTGGAGTGCAAGACGGTAGTAGATGAAGTGACTATACTTGCCTCCCCTCAGAAAGAAAAAGGAAAAGGACAGAAGAGAAACCACTAAGAATACTGAAAACGACAGAAGACGAATCATAGAAAAAATTAAGAGATTGTCCTCCCTAATGGCGCCACATACCGACCCCCGAGAGAGAGAGAGAGAGAGAGAGAGAGAGAGAGAGAGAGAGAGAGGAGAGAGAGAGGAGAGAGAGAGGAGAGAGAGAGAGAGAGAGAGGACAGCGTGAAACAAGCTTTTATGCCACAAGACGGGCAGAAAGCAGCAACTTCACTCTGGCTGTACCCTTCTCCAGAACTTCACTCCATCTGAGATCATACATACCCAGGATGACTCGAGTATGGAACACATTCGTACAGCATAATGATGTCAACGAGATAAAGTCAGTTGATCAAATGAAAATGCTGGCCCACAGATGGCTCCAACTTCATCCTGTTCCCTACTTGTATGTCTCATAACAATAAAAATGCTTTCAAATGAGCTGACGTAGGTAACAGCTCTTAGCTTGCCAATAAAGTTAGGAATCCTTAACCTGTAAATAGCTGTCAATAAAGCTAGGGATCCTTAACCTTGTCAAACCCTGTGTAAAAAAGAGAGAGAGAGAGAGAGAGAGAGAGAGGAGAGAGAGAGAGAGAGAGAGAGAGAGAGAGAGAGAGAGAGAGAGAGAGAATCCAACACTGGAACTACAGTCACATGAAGTAAACACCCTTTTTCTACCTTTTCCTTTACAGTTCAGTTACTTGCTGACGTCCGCGGATTCTGAGAGTTACTAGTTTTATTCTGTTAAAGTGACAAATCATACCATGTGGATATTCATTTCTCATCTGCCATTGTCAATCTTGACTATTTCTCATAGAATTTTGAATGCCACTATGCCCTCTCTTTCTCTATATTCTTAAAAGAACCTAATGGAAGAGCACTGCAGCAGGTCTACTGACCCATACAAGGCAGCTCCTATGGGCTTCAGTTAAAATAGTACTTATAACATTTATTTCTCATTTCCGATAGCAAATCTTGATGAGAATTGGATCTCTTTTAGTCTAATTTGCTTCCTCCTCTAATTTTCGCAGCTTCCTTGACTTGTTTTTATCTCCATCTCCATTAGTTTTTTCTTCTCCCCGTGACTGGTCCCCCAGAGTGGCTCTCAGTTTTCCCAGCTTTCAGTGGTGATTCAAGTCACCTGTGGTCAGTGGCTTTGATTTTGCTGTGTAGGGGGGTGGTGGGGGGGAAAGGTGGGGATGGGTGGAGAAGGGAGTAGTTGTGGGTGAAGGTGTTTGAGTATACATTTATCTACATTCCAGTCAGACACAGCAACATCTTGGGATCTTAGTACAGGGAATTCTTCTCTTGCCTAACCTTCAGGCATCACCTACTTCCACGTTTGGATTTGTCAGACGTGATACCACCTACTATTGCTTCACCTCACCTGACTACAGTATATAAGCCACTTCCGCGCATATGCTGTGTTCCTTTCAAGACTGATGGACTGATTACATCGACTCAAGGCTGAGGGACTGATTACCTTAAGCTCCTGTTCTTCACTATTCTCCTTTGTATGGACTGATGAAGCCACTGTTTGGCCTAACGTTTCCTCAATAAAGATACCCAAGTGTTGCACATGAGTCTAATTTATCAACTTGTCGGTTCTCTGAACCATTTATCTGCAGTTTTGTGTGTGTATACTCGATGAAAAATAGACATGTGCAACATCTGGGTAACTTTATTGTAGACGTTTCGCCCGCCAGTGGCTTTATAAACACAAATTCAGGGACATAATGGGAAGATAGCAGAACTATATACTGTGGTTCGGACGTCAGTTTGCGTGCGACCAGCAGTAACAGCCTGGTTGATCAGACCCTGATCCACCATGAGTCCTGGTCTCAGACCGAACCGCGGGGGCGCTGACCCCCGAAAGCCTCTCCAGGTAAACTCCAGGTAAACTGTATGCTCGCCTGATTGTACCTGCCCGTTTCTGGTTGCAGTGATCGAGTCTCAGCTCCAGGCCCAGCTTAAGTGATTGCTACCAAGTTCACTCCCTCCTACACTTGTGGCTCTATCATACCCATTCTCAAAGCTATGCACTGAATTTGCTTCCAGGTCATTTCACTTCTTGAAAACCTTGAGTTTGCAGAAATATTTTCTGACAACTCTGAAGGTCACGTCTTTCCTGACAACTCCGAAGGTCACGTCTTTCCTGACAACTCCGAAGGTCACGTCTTTCCTGACAACTCCGAAGGTCACGTCTTTCCTGACAACTCCGAAGGTCACGTCTTTCCTGACAACTCTGAAGGTCACGTCTTTCCTGACAACTCCGAAGGTCACGTCTTTCCTGACAACTCCGAAGGTCACGTCTTTCTTTGGCTTCCAGTTGTGCCCTCGAGTACCAGTTTCTTGCCTATTAAACAAAGTCAATTTAGTATTTTGTACATCGTTATAGCGTTCCAAGATTGGCCTGACAAATAACGCACATAAAATAATGAATGATACTGTTGAGACTCTTGAAAGCTAATCTTAAGCTTTGGAAAACACATTTGCTACAAAGGTAACTATGTTGCTGTGTTCCTCAGGTAATGGTTATGGTTATCCTAGACCTAAAATAGGGATTAAAGTCAACTCTTAGTGTATATACACATTGACATTTACCTCTTGGTGTTCATATCCAGGTGCTGGATTATGGACACCGAGAATAAACAATTACTTTCTGACATCCTGCAACTCATTTCAGTCTTTAATTTATATTTATGCCAATTTTCTCGCATTTCCGTCTTTTCTAACATCCTTCCTCTTTGCCCTCACGTAATGTGTCCCATGATTCTTTATTTTTCCAGTGTTAGAGCCTCTCGCATTTTGAATGAATTCTCTGGACTTCCATATTATAATAAAAAAGCGTTAAACTTACAAGGGTAGGTTGTTTTTCATATTGAGGTCAATGCTGGGGTTGCACACTGATGGGTGTGACCTATATCAAATATAGTGCCATAAAGGACCATTGTGGTACCTTAATGACATTAAATATGCCAAACTTATGAACGTTGCTGAGGTTCTGATGCAATGCTTGTGTTTAATGGGGAGTTTTACACTCAGAAGTTTGGTATGACAATGGGAAATCCTCTCTCGACTGTCCTGAGCAATTTGTACATCGAATATTTTGAAACAAGACTACTTAATAAAATCCTTCCCAGTAGAGATGAGTGGTACAAATATGTTGATGCACATTTAGTGAGATGTTCGGTGTTTTATTAATCTATTGTGTATTTTATTCAGTGGGGTCTGCTGTCTCAGCATCCCCCTCCCCCCACAATTTGAATTCCGTATCAGGTCTTCTCTTTCTTTACCTATCTTTCAATCTTGCATTTGCTGGAGGGTGAACATAAAAGTTACTTATTTTCAGTTTGTCCAGGTTCTCTTGTTGCTTTTAAAATTCTTCTCTATTCTCCACATTAAAGTCATCAGCATATAAAGATAAGAATATCTGGTGAGGCGTTGCCTTTACATATCAGGAACAGTGCCAGTCATGTAGGTCACTGTTCATCACGTTTATTCATCCTGACATTTATCAGTTCGTTTCACTGTCTCCTTCCCGTCAGGTATTTCTTGATAAACTAAATTACATTTTTCTTTTTCCTTGCTTACTCTTTTAAATTTACCTTATCTAAATCAATGTGTGTGCGGGTACGTGTGCATACTCGCCTATTTGTAATTGTAAAAGTTGAATCATAGCACCTGGCCATGCCTCTTACCATGTTGCTTGCCGGGTTGACACTCGCCTTGTGGGTCCTGTTGTACCTATTTCTAATGTATGGAATCTGCCTCCATTACTACTACATTCAAGGTCATTCCACTTTCTGACTATCCTGAGGCTGAAGAAATACTTCCTGACATTTCTTTACCTCATGCGTGTCTGACTTCCAACTGTGATCACGGGTGTCAGTTCACCTTCCTAACAGTATATTCCTGCCTACACCAAGTCCTCTATTTTGTATGCAATTAAAAATATTTCCCTTGACTCTTCTAACTCCTGGCCCCGCCTCTTACCAGAGTCATTCCTAGCCTTATGGGCCCTGTCGTGCCTACTCTTAAAGCTACGTATAAAGTCTTCCATAATCACTTCTTTGTCTACC